TAAAACGAAAGCGGTGAAGTTACGAACATTGACCTCAAATCACTTTAAAACATACAAATCTGTTAAAAAGGCATAAGCACGAATTCCTGGAAAATGAAGAAAAGGATCAGTTGCCCAGGAGGAGTAAACATGCCCTGTTGACCGATTGTTCCTACTATGAACCCTTTGTATTGATCAGGTAGACGGAACATTCTGCAGTCACATGAGTTTATGTCTCCCAACTTATCAAAATTTTTTTTTTTTTTTTTTTTTTTTTTTTTTTTTTTTTTTTTTTTTTTTTTGAGTAGGATTAATTTTGTAAGCCAGGCATGCTACTCAATGATAAGTTGAAGTTACAGGAATTTCAACAACTTCGTTTAAAATCGGCATTCCATGAAATTTTATTGTCGTTACATTTGTATAATTACCTTGTTAACTTTATATACAACCATTCGCCACGGTAAACTAAAATCCAAGCTTTTTTTATATAATTGACAGCAAGCCTATTTTTGTATTCATATATAAGGCAGAATTTTCCAAAATCGTACACATGAAAAGAAGAAAACACTTGCTGTTGCCTTCAACGCGACATTTAGATATATCGAAAACGAATTGTCAATTAACTATGGTTATTTCCATTCATATGTCGATACAATATATCCCGACAGAGTCTGACACACCTGTTTCAAATTAAGATACTGTAAATTTATCTCATACTTGTGGGTGATACAGCCCATCAGATAAACTTATGCTTTATCCACGGGTAGATGCTTTGTCAATAGCACTTCCGGTTTTGACACGATCCCTTGCTTCAAGATTTTATTTTATTGAAACTTTTATTTGTGAAAATTATTGCCCTTATAAAATGAATGATATATAAAGAGCAATAATATCAAAAGAAGTGTACGACAACATTCATAGACATTAAAATATAGCACATGTTCCTTCAAGAATTGAAACTCTTCAACTCCATGGAAAAAAGACCAAAAAGTTCAAACTACATTGCGTATGTCTTTAAGGTATTCAATCCCTAATAGGAACAAATTGAATGAAATTGAATACATAACAGATATGTAGGCATTGAATACTCAGTTTATTTAGACATACTTTCCATTTATTACTATTAGTATGTATAGTGGAATGTATTCTAATTTATGACCTTGAATTTTGGTTAGAGTTATCTCCCTTTTCTAAATTAATAAAAAAAAATCAATTGAAAAATTTTAGCGGTAAAAAACTGTTTTCAATTGTCATTCTATTTTTAATGTTTCAATGCATCCTTCCACTGCAGGATTTATTGATATTCAAATTATAAGAATTTTTATATTGAAAAAAAAACCGCTTTTCCCCAATAGACTTCAATGCATTCTTTGTTAATTAACTACTGTTCAATTAATGAAATTTTTGCAACTTTCTCGCGGGCAATCCTTTTCCACTATAAAATGCTTTAATGTAATATCAGAGTATTATGTCCTTGAAGGACAATTAAGGGTAGGGAATTTGGTGCTATTAGGGATGGAAATCCTTAAATTGTTGTTATAAGATTCCTTTAACATCTTCAATAATGCGTTCTTATATTATACTACGTATGCCTACCTAGTAATGTAAGTGTAACGTACCAAAGATCAACAATGAATCTACAAGTAGCCTAGCCTTGCCAAGCACGTTTTGTACTGCCACCATACAAAGAGTTAATTTTCACCTTCCCATGTCTCTTACAACTTTCAGTCAGAAGTTCGTTTGATGTAAAGCTCCAGCAATTGTCACATAATGTTTTCAAGGACGCAGATAGCAAAAATTCTATAAATTTTGAACACCATCTACTTTCTTTCGAGGCACGTCAACATCAACGGTGCTACGTCATCAAGTTGTACGTCATCAATTTGAATTAGAGATCATTCATGTAGTTTCGCAGGGGAAGTCTCAAAGTTTTGTTAAAACAAAAGTCATATGAGATAAATAGAACATCTATAATTGTGTGAATTGATATTGGCTTTATCCAACACGTTGAAATGGTGTATATTCGCTCAGCAAGCTTCGCGAATATATACACCATTTCAACTCATTGGATAAAGCCAATATCAAATCACACAATATAGATATCCTCTTTCTATTATATTTAGCTTGCACGATATTTGGCAGAATTGGATTGAACAAGATAGCGTAGATTTGAATTAGCACATTTCTTTATGCTGTTATCAATGTATATATGTGCAGGACAATTAGCTTTGTACTTGAGAATTAGCGAAAGTTTCTCTCCACCAAAATCTCTAAAATGAAAACACAGCCAAATGTAATACGTTTACAGTATTTTACTTGAAATGGACTTTAAAGATAATCTAACAACCAAGCTTAATGACAATCGAGATGACTTAAACTTTTCAATTGTAAACTTCCCTTACTAATGCACCAATATACCTTCATCCCCTGCATACGGGGTTTATATCTCTCAGTTGATGCGATACGCAAGAGCATGCTCTACCTGTTTACAATTTTTAAAACGAGGTAAAGTATTGACAAACAAGTTGATGAAACAAGAATATCAGCATCTCATTTAAAGTCTTTGTTTCATAAGTTCTATGGTCAATACAATGACCTTGTCAGCAAATACATTTTATCATTGAATCAAATGCTGACTGATATATACTTCTTCATACTAATTATTAGACCATTATTTACACACTGAATTTTCGACGCATTTTCCCCTTTCTTCTTAATCACATGCCGGTTATGACTGGTCGGTAGGGAATGCTCATTCTTCAATTGCACCTGATCCCACCTCTGATGTTTTGGAGGTCCTTGTTTGCTCTGCTCCTATTTTGTATCGTTGATAGACTTTCGAGCTTGAATACAGTTTGGTATCTCCATATGTTTCATTTCAAATCTGTTTTAGTTTGATTTCAATACTTGTAAAGCAGTCGCTTACGGGGCGCAGTGGTTAGAACGTCTGCTCTAGAGTAGCGAAGTAAGGAGTTGATCCTTACGTCGCGGGTTCAAATCCAACTGTGGGATGTGGAGACCGGTCCTTCGGATGATACCGTATAAATCGAACGTTACAAAGTTTCAAAATCAAGCGTTACTTTTCTCTTTTGTTATACTATACTTATAAAATTGACATTTTTGGATGATTTTCTTATATAGTTTCATTGATATTTATGTGAATTTTATCAAACATACGTTTTTCGATAAAAAAAAAAACAACAAAAAACAAAGAGATTACTTTATCATTTTGGTAAAATCTTTGTTTTTACCATATAAATTAACGGAAAATGGATGATGGTTTAAAAAAAAAATCCAAAACAATCTCTATAAATGCATAATGAATTGTTATTCCATAAATCCATACCCAAGCTTTTGTTGTTTCACAGAGGGGAGGACAAATGTTTTCAGAAAAAAGTATTTAATGAAAATTTATAAACCAATTTCAAATGAGAAAAGTACAGTCATTAACCATTTCCATACATATTTGAAAGTCTGGTGATGCTTCAAAGCTAGCTTATTTCAATGGATTTAATGTTTCTAATTACCTTTTGAAAAACAGTTGAAAATGCAGTCTGCTTGGCTTTCAAATAAATGGCCAGAAAGTCATTTCATGCAAAGGACTATTATCCTTGGAAACTAATACAGATATATATATTTAAATGAAATCAATTCCAGTATAAATAAAAAATCTTTCATTAAAGCATAACTGCTTTGTTTTGAGTTTTTTTTAATCTTTGATGCTATCCAAATTCAATTATGGGATCCTAAGAAAAGCAATGCAACAAAGAACAATAACTCCTAAAGTAATAAATCAGGTTATCTTTCTTATTACATGTATTTTTTTTTTTTTACAAACTTTTATATTCGTTGTGTTAAGACCCATACCATTGTGTATATTCTGAAGAATGAAAGAAAAGGGTTACTATGAGTGTTATGTATTTTGTATAGGTTTTCTTAAAATTATTTTTACGAATAGCATTGATTGTTTTGAAATAGCTTTAACATTTCAATAAAAAACGTATTTCCTTAGCTCAGAAAGTACACTTACCCTATCATCTACCTTAAGAAAATGGATCGATTATATATACAAGAATTTAAAGTTAACATTGATTTATTTTCTTTCACTCATGATTTAATGATTATAAAGAAATTTTTTTACTTTACATTACCGCAGTTTAATGGAATAACAGGCGCCATATTAAAAAAAACCTCAGACATATGTTTTATTCTCTGTCGTCAAATGAGTGTAGGGAAGCCAGTTTTATTAAGACCTTCATCTATCAATTTTAAACATTTTTGTGAATTCAGGGTGTCCCTGATTGTCTGTTCTTTGCAGCTCTATTGAGATTTGAGGCTCGCAAAACCGCAAGCATCCAGATCAATTTGGTACAAATGTATCATAAATCAACTAAACTTAAGTGAATGCTGTAAATCAATTATTGTTGCAAGCACATAATGATACATTCCTCTTAATTTCTATACACATAGAGATCGTATATTATATCATACATATAAATGTAGTCCTCGTGGGACACTTGTTAGAGCGTTTGCTCCAGAATCGCGGAGTAAGGATCCAATCCTTAAGTCGCAGGTTGAATCCCACTATGGAACTTGGTCCTTTGGGTTGGGATCGTATAAACTTAAGGAAAAACGACCCCCCACTGCTCAAAGACTGTATGTGCAGAGTAGAAGACTAAAGGTACAGTCCTCCACCAGCAGGTTGTGATATTTCAATACGATTAGATAAAATCTCGAAGTAACAATAAACAAAATCAATTCAAACCACAATTATATTTCTTTGTTCCGGATTTATGCATCAAAAACAATAACAAAATATAAATATGAAAAAAAAATGGTGAAGAAAACGAACAGACAAATGCACAGAAAACATTTAGACTGATTGCGATTCATCAAACAAACAGGCAAACTTGTTCGTTTCATTTATAACAAGTTTAACCATTTTAATGATTTTGGTGTACATAAAAGTGAATCCATAATTTGTAAAATTAGTGATTGAATCTCTATATAGTAATTTTTTACAGAGAGATGACACTAAATGCATGGGAGAAAGCTAGACCTCTATTTCTTCCTCGGTGGTAGTTACATTTATTTCCTCATTATCAGAGATCTCTGAGTCAACTATGTCAATTGTTTGTTGAAATAAGGTTTCGTCCGTTTCATCAATCCCAGGTTTGGAAGCAGAAGCAGTCGTCTGCTCACAGAATGTGTCTACATCAACAAAGGGCGTCTTATTGTCGTCCAGTGACTTCAGCCTTTCGTGAATACGTTTATGTCTTTCCAGATTACTTTTATGACTTGTGGCATAATCACAATTGGGACAGGAAAAGTCTTTCTGGCCACTGTGAACCGACAGATGACGTTTCAATAACGCTTTCCGACAAAAACGACGTCCGCAGTAAGGGCACGAGTAACCATTGTGATGGAAAATCATAATATGTTCCCTTAAAGAAGCCTTAGTACCAAATGTCACTCCACAACACTCCAGCACTTTATCGCATGTTTGATGCATTGTGGAAATGTGTCTTTTGAGGTTGTTCCGTCGATCTGTGACGTAGCGGCAATGTGGACATGGAGAAAGTTTCCCGCGAAATGTGTTGCAAACAAGCATTGCAAGTTCGAGATAGTTTCTATTGATAATAGGCGTTTTTATTTTTGAAAGATCTGTTGGGAACGCAGCATGAGCATTGAAAGCCTGTATTTGTGCCGTGTTCAACTGTTTAAAATCACTCATGTTTCCATTCTGAAAAGCGGGATAAAATGCTCCTGGATACTGTAGAAATGTGGCGGGAACTGGCATTCTGTGTACACTTGGTAAAGTAGCTATTGCAAGACTCTGCGAAGAGGATGGCGCTGTGGTGCTCGGATTCAGTGCTCGTAACGAGGCTGAAGTCAAGGTTGAACTTGTAAGAGATGTAGGGTCACCGGCAGATCGAGGGGTTGGCTGTCTGCTAATATGTGAGGTATGTGCCTGAGGTGGCTGAAGAGTTCTTCCGGAGTTTGAGGGAATGATGAATTGGCCGCCAACCATGTGGACATCAAGACGACTGCAAAATATAGATTTGCTTACTTTGAGAATCTAATTTAAAAGAAACATTTGATTTGATTAAGAACTAATTTAGTTACGTGATTATTGTACTTTCTTTGCAGATAAAACTACATGTAACTATTAACGCTTCAAACTTTTATCAGCTTCCATTTGCCGAAAGGGGGATCTAAAAGTTATTTTTCCATATAATAATTATCAGTTTTTGGGACAATTTTTTTTTTACATCTTTCTATTTAATTGGATATTTAGCATATTCTGAAATATTAATTTCTATTTGTGAAGGGAAAAATCTTATTTTTTCTCATTTAAAATTTTTGAATAAAGTGTCTAATATTTTTTTAAATAAGTTGAATTCAGCTTCCAGATGAATCACCACTCTTTATAACTTACATGCTAGACCTTTTTGTGCAATTTATTATTCTATGATTTCCTTACAAATGCAATGCCGAGTTATTTCTTTTGTAAATCATACAAGAACATGCAACATGCAACATATTTTGTATTATAATGAAAAATATATTGAGCGAATATTTAACCTAAAAATGTTTTTCTTTGAAAGACAGAATCTGAATAACATCTTTAACTGCTTGTTGCATTTTATTGTATACATTCAAGAAAATTTACACCAGTGTTAAACTTTACTTTTATTTTATGCGTTGTGTAACTGGAAACTGTTATAAAATTTTGTAATTTTTGTGAACATGTGATGACAGTGTACAGCTTGCAATACTTTTTAATCTGTAACGAAAGTACCAAAATATTTATCTAACATATCAATTTCCAAGTATTTTTGTAAAAATGTTACCCCAGTACAATTTTTTTTTGTTGAAAACCTGTGAATTATATCATTCTTCAATTTTAAGTGCATTGTCGGTATACATTTTTTGTGTGATCCATTAGGGTTTGCAGGTTATATTTAAACCTGTATTTTCGTTGTCGATGTGTTTCATATGTCTAAAAGTTAGTCAAAAATTATTCTTCATACAATTAATTTCCATTCTTTTGTCGATATGATATATCCTGTTGAGATTGAGATAAAAGATACCACAGAGTCTGAAACATATGTTTCATATTTGAATATTTTACTTGAAAAAAAAACGTCAATGGTAATCTGAAAAACCAAGCTCTATGATAAACATAATGACTTAAACTTTTCTATCGTCAACTTCCCTTACTCATGCAGCAATATACTTTCATTACCTGCATACGGAGTTTATATCTCTCAGTTGATTGGATACGCAAGAATATGCTCTTTTTATGAACAACTTCTGAGACGAGCTTATTATTGACAAACAAGTTGATGAAACAAGACAATAGTCTCGTTTAAAGTCATTATTTCGTAAGTTCTATGGTCGATACAATGACTTTGTCAGCAAATACAATTCTTCATTGAGTCAAATGCTGACTGACATTTTTCATACCAATTGTTCCTGATCATAAAAAGGAACATATGACGGATGTGACCGGTCGGCAGGGGATGCTCACTACTCCAAGTCACCTGATCCCACCTCTAATGTTTTTAAGGTCCGTGTTTGCTCTGCTCCAGTTTCGTATCGTTTGATGGACTCTTGATCTTGAATACTGTTGTTATTTCCATATGTTTCATATAAGACATTGATATTTTCATACAAATTGTTAAAAGAAACAACAAAACCTGGAATACCAGAGGTAGGATTAGGCGCCTATGAGGAGTAAGCATCCCCTAACGATCTGTCCCACCTACTTGAACCTTCTGATCAAATAAACGCAGTAATCCACATTCAAAACCGAAGCATCAGTCAATTTATAACTTAACGATACGTTGTTTTGCAAAGAATCTCATCAAATTGACAACAATTTGCAAAATGCTCACTTTAAATGAGATTGTGGACAGTTTTGGAGTATCAGTTTATTTTTAAGATTGTAGGAATACACATTCTCAAATGATTAAATATATTTGATATATAATTTATATTATGCTTGAGAAACTATCAGTTAAGGAGGTTTGTGTGTTAAATCAGAGTGATTTTCAAAAAAGTAACTTCGTGGCTAAGAGAATACGGCGAGTGTGAAGGAATGCTAACTCCTCCATGGCATCTGATCCCACATTTCTAGAGGTCCATGTTTGTTCTGCTCCTGATATGTATTGATTAATGAATTTTTAAGCTTGAATACTGTGTGTTATTTCCATATATATATTTTGTAAATATCCAGTCATAATTTATGAAAATTCCCGAGTTAACTCTGTAGTGTTTTTAATTACGAGAAAAATTTTAGTGTACTTAATTTGGAAAATATTGGGATTTCAAGTTTTCTTTAAACCTGTTTTGGAATTTTTTTGATTAAGACCACTTTTGAATATGTTATAACATGTATCTTAAGTTTCTGATATCAAGTGTTAGGAGCTTCCTGGAATACACACAATATGCAATGTATAAGTATCTTAAAGAAGTTTTTTTTAATTTAGTATAGGTGCGGTAACTCGAATTCCTAGTCATTTAACATTATGAGTAAAGTATTTAAAACTCAAATAGCTTCCGTATGATTTATCAGAATTTTATCCATCGAAAGAGGAACATAAGAATAATTTACAATAATTTAGATTACTCGTATGTAGAATTAAAGACAAGTTCTAAAATTCTAAAATGCAGAAAAAATAACGATTGATACAAAAAGATAATATTGTACCAGACTTTGTCATCTTAAAAAATATATATTGTTCATGTAGTTTATTTAATTCATGTTTTTTTTTCTTCCAATATACTGAAAACGGAATCATGGATATTTTTTATATATTGTTTTATGGTATACTGGGAAACTGGACGTTACCCGATGTATGTGCGCATTTATACAAGAATTATATCTTTCTAGGGAAAACTGATACATGGAAATGGGAATAAGATCTGTAGAATTATTTATTTTCATCTTTATAATAAATACACCAAAAAATGGGATTAGTAATCCATGGATATCTTTCATACAGAATATTCTTAAAACAACGGGGCTCTGTAATATTTGGACTAATCAAAATTTTCATAGTGTTAAATGGATTGCAACTGCAATAAACCAGTGATATGAATAATTCCGGTAAAGGTATTACTTATAGATTTTTTAAAACAAACTTTGATTGTGAAAAATACTTAGCTATTTTACCAAGAAAATTTAGAATATCTTTTCAAAATTCAGAACAAGTAACCATCGTCTTCCAATAGAGATGGATAGTTGGAATAATTTTGAAATGAAAGAGTGTGCAATTCATGTATTAATAATCAGATAGGAGACGAGTTTCATTATTTACTAGACTGTAATGCATTATGTAGAATCGGAAAAGATTTTTTGCAGAAATACTATGTACATCCAAATATTTTATAATTTGATGACAAGTACTGATCCAGCATTCTTACAAAAAATTTTCTATATTTATCACCAAAATTTTGGACACTGTCTGTCCTCCTGTAATTTCTGCTCATCCATAATTATTGTAAATATATATATATGGACCTCTTGTACCATGTACATGTATATGGGTTTTGAGAGAAATAAATGAATGAATGAATGTTTAATCGTCCACTATTTTGACACACGCTGTACAACATAAACTCTTATCCTGCTGACGAATTAACTGATCTTCTTACAGTTTACATATCGAAATGTGAAGAATACAGGGAATTTTGAAGAAAAAAAATTCCAAAAAAATTGACTTGTTATAATAGTCTTATTTTGATGTGTGTAAGATTTCCATTTTGCCATCTTTTTAAATGGAAAAAAATCCTTAAAACACTTCCAAATAGCATATTAAGGTTAATAAATTTACTCACATATGCTAAAATAAATCAGGAATCCACAAATGCATTTATGTATGATTTTCTCTGTATATTTATTTCTTTAAAGGTACAATACGTTTAATTATTCAATTTCAAATTTGCCACACACGGGTATAAGAAAATTAACTGCTGAGGAAATTCATTAACTCTCGGACAATTAAACGAAGCAAACCGCATGTAGTTTTCAAGACCTCGTCATTATAGCCCAATAAAGTTCTTAAGAGAGAAACGACTGCCGGGGAAAGGAGCTTTATTGAAGATGATTGTAGGAAATCAATTTAAATGTCATAAATCCTCATCCTGGACGTAAATTAACAATTCATAAACGACTTTCAGGAGAGCTCGCCTACCAATGGCATCGTATCAATACTGTAATTAGCCTCTTATAGAATAATGACAAGTGTTTTATATCGGTTATTGTACATTATCGTCATATAGAATTTATATCGGTTAACAATCTTTATCACACCATGGATATCTTTTAAATATTGATACGGGATGGAAGCCATTCTAGTTTTTTGGATCTTTTATTTCTCCAGCCATATGTATATTCTGCTAAACCAATCTTTGTTTCTGTATTTTGAATAAGACAAGTTCTTCTGATTCAAGCTAAGAATTAAATTTTAAGCTATCACATTAATTTATGTTTGCTTTTTATAATACATGTACAATCATATTTTTAAAAAAATACTTTTTTTTAGTTCTTCAGACGTGCATTGCACAGTTTTATATTAAAATCATCGTTTTTAAACATGCTGATATAGAGAAAAACTTCTTTTATTTTTCTTTTAATTCAAATATATTATTTTTATTTTTTATTATTATTATTATGTGAAAAAAGTATGAAAAACGTTTTTCCTGTAAAAGATTGCTCACTCTAAAACAATATATAAAGCCTTTCTTACCTGCAAAGTACCAAATGACTCTAACAAACTGTAAAATGGCATTCATAAAGGGATTAAAAAATAGGAAATGGTGGGGAGACTTTCTTTTAAAAAAATTATTTCCTTGCAAGTTAACAATATTAACAATAAAATGTATTGAGGGGGGAGCTTTGATCATTCACTGTGTGATTTAGATAATGTCTGAAGAAGTACATATATAAGCCATAAACGTTAGAAAGAATGAAAATACGGATGATCTCCCATGGCTAGTCTCAATGAAAGAGCTGGTCACAGATGGTGATAGTAAATTA